ACCAAGAAGTGGCTTGGAGCTGGAATGGGAGGCTGATGAAAAAATGCAGCTGAACGTGACAGAGAAATTGGACATAACCATAGAAAACCGGTTATAAATAACATAGAGACCGGGAAATGATTGATTTTGAAAGCAAAGAAGTGTTTGGCTGATCCTCTGGGGCACAGGGTGTGACTCCTGGGCATGGTTCTGTGCAGGGCTCAGGGTTGGACTCGATGATCCTTGTGAGTCCCTCCCAACTCAGCATATTCTGGGATTCTGTGATCCTGAGGCTCAAAAAACTCCCAAATCCTTCAGTTTTGCTGACTCAGACCATGGCAACAGTTTGGGTTGGAAGGGACCTTAAAGGTCATCTCATTCCACCCACTGCCATGGGCAGGGACACCTTCCATGGGCAAGGTTGCTCAGAACCTCATCCAACCTGGCCTTGAATGTTCAAGGGATGGGGCAGCCACAGCTTCTCTGGGCAACACATTCCAAGTTTTTACCACCCTCAAAGACTCATTTTTCACTATATCCGAAGTCCAAAGACTCATTCTTTGCTTTATCCAAAGTCCAAAGACTCCAGTCCATGGAGTCACCATTGATGCATTTTGTGAGGGCTTCATGGCCTGCATTTAATTTGTAAATTTTAATTAATAATATAGAAAAATGGTCACAGCAGCGCAGATCTATAACTCTGCTAAGGCTGCTCAGTGTCCCAGGGTGTTGGAAGTTGCCTGTTTGGTCCTCCATCAGCTTGGGCAAAATAAAATGTAAACCCATGAGACAGCACCAGAAATCTTGAGGAAAACTTTGTGTTATTAATGCCTAAAATGCCCCAAACCATGTGAATAAGCAGCAGTGACCTGGTTACACAGAAAAAAAAACACCTCACAGAAAAACCTACCCGAGCTGTTTTAATTGATTGTTCAGTCACCTGCAAATGATGCCCCTGGCTATGAAATGCAAATTTACCTCAAAATATTCGTGTTCATCTGATGGTAAAAAGGTCTGTTGTACTTTGAATCTCAATAAGCTTGGCTTGAGAACCCTCTTCTCTGCACACCACAGGTTTTATATTTATATATTTATATATTTATATATTTATATATTTATATATTTATATATTTATATATTTATATATTTATATATTTATATATTTATATATTTATATATTTATACATTCATATATATTTATGTATATTTATGTATATTTATATATATTTATATATGTATATATCACACAATCTGTTAGGTTGGAAAAGACCTCTGAGATTCAGTCTAGCCTATGACCAAACACTATGACATAGCACTGAGTGTCATGTCCAGTCTTTCCTTACATGAATATATGCAAATTATGTATTTAAATGGAGATGTATCGTCTATTTATTGATATATATCTAATACTATATCTATACATATAGATATATATAATATATATAATAATGTGGACTTGCAGGCAAATCTAAAAGGTAAAAAAGATACATCACATCAATTTTTGCAGTTAGGTGAGAACCTTAGCCCAGGGCAAACACTACAAATCTGCCCTTTGTAAACATATAGAAAGGAGATGAAAAATCAACTCAGCCTCTGATGATGAGCCATGTGTTGCACAGGAGGACCAAGGAAGGACAATAATTCCTGTTCACTGCTGGGTGGTGGGTATGAAAAACCCCTCTTTTGAGGTCAGGAGGCATTTTCTGCTTGAAGAAATGTATTTACAGACTGGGGCCGTTGTTGTGGAAGAAGTGGACATTTTGTGCTGGTCAGATCAGCTTAACTGGACTTGAGCCTGAGTGGCACCTTCTGCTGTCCCCTTTGGTGTCCATGGTAGGAAAACTGTCTCACTTGCATTTGGCAAGAGCTGGAACCATTGCCACAATTTGATTTCCACGTTTTCTCCTCAAATCCTGTAATATCTGCTGCATGTTTTAGCTTTTAGGGTATTTATTTTCTCCAATCATATCTGAAGTAATCTATATTATAGTGTTTATATTTCTTCCCATGAGAGACAGTCTGATATCACAGTCTTATTCCACAAGCTACTATCTCATGGTCAAGAAGACCCATCCCTTTAAGCTGTACCCCCTTACATCACCCTACATAATTTTTTTTCCTACTTCAGCTCATTCATCAAATATTATAGGTAGTTCATGCCCCTATTTACTCATTACTCAGCCAAATTTTACACTCTTAGCTCATCCTCCGGTGTTTAAGTATTTTCCCCAAATGTTTATTTTAGCTCAAAACGGGATTTGATTGCTAGTGAAGAAGAAAGATGATTTTTTTTCAGATTTATGTCTCCCTAAATACATTAAGACAACATCTGTGCTCATTTATACATTGTCAATGTAGGCAGGAATACTAAAAAAGGATAGAAATTGGTCTGTGGGGCTTGTGTTGCACTTTAGGCAGAACTTGGTAATCTGAAGTGACATCAGATTTACTGTCACAGAATTCCTGTGCCTTGCAGAGGCATATTCCCTTTGTCCTCTGCTTACTGAAGAGGCAGGGAAGTAACTTTGGTGCAGAAATCAAGAAGTGGTTGTTCCTATGGATCTCTGGGTATGTGTGTGGACACATGGATGGTGAGAGGCAGTGGAGCTGCTTGCTGAGAGAAGGAACTGGCTGAAAATATTAATAATTGGTGTTTTCACATAGTTGAATTAATATTTCCATGCTCCTTTTCCTCAGTTGAGGAAATCCATGCATTCTGATGCCGAATTTTGCCCCAAAAGGCTCAGAGGAAGTGCTCAGAGACAGAGTTTTCAGTCTTTAAGCAGGAGGTATTTATTGCGAAGCAGCGTTGGGGAACTCCCAGCTCGCCCTGGACAAAGAGCTCCAGAGCAGGCAGTGAACAGCTGGATTATTTATACAATTCTTGTTAAGAGATTACATCATTTTCCATGAATATTCATAGTATTGCAACATCTAGTTATAATATTCATAACAGGCAGAGTTAGGGCGGAGTCAGGGGCGCGGTCTTCATTTTGGGGATAATCTTGGTGGTACATCCTCTTACTTCAGCCTCAGGGGTCTTAGTTTTACTCCTCTTTCTCAAGTAAACTTTTGAACTTTCTTTAATTTGGCTGACTACTAGATGTATTTGGCAGGGGTTTCTGAACATCTGGCAGGAGTTTCTGGACCCTGATCCTCCTTTTTCCCCTTATCTTCCTGTGTTCTTACCATATATCTATTTACGTGTATTGTTAGCGTTCTTAGTGTTCTATTATTTCCCTTCCTTTATGTTCTTGTGTCAGTGTGTCAGATTTCTGTATGTGTTATTTTCCGTCAGTCCTTGAGTTCTAGTTCTCTTATTTCTTTACTCAGGGTATGCATTCAGAGTTAACCCTTCAGGCCTCGTTTTGCTACACTCAGTTAAGTTTTTCAGGCCGTGCTCTGTTTCATTCTGCATCGTTGTCTTGCTTTCCAGGCGCTCAGAACGTCGCGTTGCTGTGACTGCCCTGAGCTGGCAGCCGGCTCTGTGCTCCAGCCCTTTTCCAAAGCTATTAGAGGAAATCTTTCCTATCGACTGGAGCAGCGTGGGAGCGGCCACAGGGCCGTGCTGAGCAGCCCAATTTATTGATGCTGTTCGTGTTCCTGAACCGGGGGGACCCTCCTGAAGCCGCCTGGCGAAGGAGCCGCGTGCAACTCTCAGCTCCGGCGGTCTCGGGTTCGATCAGGGAAGTTAAACTGTGATTTATTTGGAGCTCTGCAAATCTTTATTCCTGGCTATGAACAAGTGTTTGAGGGCAGTGGTGTGTGGGCCATCTGCCAGCGTTGGATGTGCTGCTGAACCCCCAGCCTGAGGCTCTGGGGACGGAGGGAAGAAACTTCCCTTTCCACAATGTGGAAATCAGATGGTGCCAATGGTTCCAGCTCTTGCCAAATGCAGGTGAGACAGTTTTCCTACCATGGACACCAAAGGGGACAGCAGAAGGTGCCACTCAGGCTCAAGTCCAGTTAAGCTGATCTGACCAGCACAGAACATCCACTTCTTGCACAACAACGGCCCCAGTCTGTAAATACATGTCTTCAACCACAAAATGCCTCCTGACCTCAAAAGAAGGGGTTTTCATACCCACCACCCAGCAGTGAACAGGGATCATTGTCCTTCCTTGGTCCTCCTGTGCAACACATCTATATGTTTACAAAGGGCAGATTTGTAGTGTTTGCCCTGGGCTAAGGTTCTCACCTAACAGTTATTTCTGATTTTAAATCAATCCTTTTTTTCCAGGCATGAAGCAGTTTTAATGTTTCTCTAATAATATCTTGCAGAAAGAGCTGGAAAGTGTGTTATGGAGCATAGAACAGCTTAATTTTCCAGGCAAAGGGAGCTACCACAGATGTTGCTTCTTTGCTGCTTCTGCAGCACCTTTGCCTTCCCGTGTACGTTATCCCACATTCCTGAGCTCTACCAGAGCCCAGCAGGTCCTGGAGCCTTTCACAGCCTCTGCTGGCACCTTCCAAATGCTGCAGCAGCCCAAGACTTTTTGGTTTGTCACAGCTCCCAAAGTGCCAAACCCATCCTCAATCCAGTGCCCACCTCCCCAAGCAAAGGCACCTTACGCTCAAATATAATTATTTCCTTAAATAAACAACCAAGTGAACAAATGTTTGGAATTCAGAGACAAAAAAAAACCCCAAAATAAAATAAATTTTCAATGACAGTTCTCATTAGAGAGAAACTGTCTCTCTAAAACTTTGGCAACTTTTTCAACCTTTTTTTTTTTTAAATCTCCTCCAGAAATAGCTCTGAAGTGTTGATAATGTCCAGGAGGTTAATTCACGGTGCCTGCCACAAGGTGGGGTTTCTGAAATGATGTGCCTAATCTTTGAAGTATATTTGATGTATATTTGAAGTCTATTTGCTCACTCAGAGGAATGGGAGAGGACACATTGTAGAATGAGGCAGCAAGGTGGTGTAAACCTCTGCTTTGTAGCCAGGACAGGGACTGGTACCAACAACATAAAGAAGTCTAGGATCCTTGTTTATAATCAGATTCATAAGTATAAAGTGCTCCCACACTGTGTAAAATCACTCCTTTACAAGGTTTTTTTTATATACACCGTGGTTTGGGGTTTATCTGACATGAGACTGCATTTTAGGGGCTTAAGCACAACCTTATCTTTCCTTGTCCCAGCTGAACCTGGATTAAAGGAGAATTGATCTGGCAGGAGATTTATTTAAATGCCATCACCTGAATCCTCATCCCCACACACCTGGGGAAGCCCTGGGGGGAGTTGTCTGGAGCTGATGGTTCCTGTTCCACTGTGCTCCCCAAGGAACTGCAGGAATCCACAGAACCAGGTGAGACCCAGGGGGGGTTTCTGGGAGTTAAAATTTCTAAATGTACTTTTTTTTAACTCTTTAGATGGTTATTTATCTCTCCTCCAACAGGTTGTGGGGAAAAACCTCTCCCTGGGGCTGTCTAAGTGCTCAGCACCAAACTCTTGGAGTGGGAAAGGCTGCATGTGATGGGGATACAGGGATGAGTATTCTTAAGTTATACCAGGGGAATGTTTAGATTGGATATTAGGGAAAATTTCTTCCCTAAAAGGGTGGTCAGGTGTTGGAATAGGCTGTCCAGGGACGTGGTGGAGTAGGTAAATTCTCAATTTTTGAGTTTTTGGTCCCCTGTAAACCCCTGGATATAAATGAAAAAAATACAGTCCTTTCAATTTTGGACTGGGAAGGTCACATTAAAAAAGCAACATTAAGTTTTTGACAGTGAAGTTTATAAAAAAGGAAGATAAATAAGAGAGCTGGGGAGTGTAAATCAAAGGGTGAAAGGTTTGTGGTGTTGGAGGCCAGGAAAGCTCAGTGTGTTTGGTTTGGAGGAAGGGCATGACCATAAAGAAAAGGCTGCAAATCCATAAAGGGATTTCATGGGAAGTTGAGGGACTGATTGTTCTTGTTGGGCTTCAACTTAAAGAAAAGCATTATAGGGGTAAATCATGGAATCCCAGAATGGTTTGAGTTGGGAGGGACCTTAAAGATCATCCAGTTCCAACCCCTTCCACCAGGTCATGAGACAACATAAAATGAGACCCCTTTCAAGGTCCCTTCCAAGCCAAACTATTCTGTGATTCTCATTTTCCCACTTTCAATAACAAGTTGAGGTGAAGTTTTAAGGCATAAAACCTCTTTTTTAGAAGCAGTGGTTAAAATGTTTGGGGTTTGTGCATTTAAATGAATTTTTAATGTTCTATCTCTGTAATTAAGAAGGGCAGGAAAATAGGAATTCTTCAGGGGCAAGCAAGAAGATATCGTTTGATATTTTGAAAGTGCTCCGAAGTTTAGGAAGCTTTAATAAAGTCATAAAGCAGGAAAAATGTATTCCCTCTGTCCCCTCTCTCTTATCTTTCTCAATTTTGGGAGCCTTGAAAGATTCCAGGGAAGGTGTACTGACAGTAAACAGGCTTTTCTTGGTTACCTTCAGTGCCTCCAAAGTAATCCATGGCCCCTTGGGATCTGCAAATCACGGACTGCGAGCAGCTCTCCGGGTGATAAAAGCTGCAGGATAACTCATTTAAAAGTTACTTTGCAGAGATGATGATTACTGAGTCTTGCAGCAATATACACATGAATTGTCTCTTGACTTCGATGGAGTCAATTAGAGCTCCTTAATTAGTGCAGTTAGTAATCATCTGCTGAAATTACAGATGTTCTTTTGTGCTATGATTTGTATTTTAATACCACTTTTAAAAATGACCCTGCCTAGAAAGGTTTGGTTGAACATTTTCTTTAGTTGCTTTGGCACTGCAGGACTACTTTAAAATAATTTGATACCTGAGACTTCTCTCAGCAACATAATTTCTAGGGTGGTTCTCTATTTTTCTTCTTACTTATGGTTTTTGCTTTGATTCTGTGCAATCACACCTTCTGAACTCTGACACTAATTAATCCTTTTTCCTTGGCTTTTCTTTTATTTTTTTTTCATTTTTCCAATGAATTTATTAATCATGAAAGACCTTCCATATGGGAAACCCTCATTTGATGCACCAGACCAAACTCTTAGATTGCTTTTTGATTTTGAGACAATCTGGTCTCTCTTTGAAGGAGTTACAGCACAGGGACACCTGATGGTTCTTCATTAAACATAAATAAAGGGAAAAAGGCAGAGGAATAAGCAGATCCTATAAATCCCCATGGAAGAGCCATGTCAGAGGGACAACAGGCTCATAACTGCCTGGGAAATTGGTGGGGTGGGGAGGGACCTGGAGTCATTCCAGGCAACACAATCATGCAACAAAGCTTTTGGATATTGATTCCTCTTAACTTCTACAAGCAGCAAAATCTGTTTTCCCACGTAGCAGGGATCCTGTTCTTGCACTGTCTGAATGTTTCTGTCTAATGTGTCACCTGGAGCATCCCAAATGGGCAATTTTTCTCCTGTTAGGAGCTGATTCCCCTCACACAAAGCACTGGGATGGGACGTGGCTCACGTTTAGTTCCCGGATTTGACTCTCCGCGATGACAGATCCCTTTAATTTTGACTTGCTCGTATCTGTGGAACGAGTGGGGACTCCGAGATATTGCAGGAATTATTTTCAAGCAAAGCATTTGTTTTGACAGCATTGAAAAAAGCAGGAAAAAAAAAAAAGGGGGAGAGATATTATCCTGTGACAATATATCTTTTTATACCTGAGAGGCATCGATTCGCGGCGGAGGCATTTACTGCTCCAAAATTGTTTACAAGAACAGGAAGCATCTGCCAGGCTGAGCTGGGAAACTGGGAGGATTTTCTGCTGTAAAAATGACTCCATATTCATGCACCCAGGAAAGGATGGGGTGGGTGGAAGATTCCAGGCCGGATTTACCTGCTGGTTGTAGGGATCAGCAAATGGAAGTAAGAGGGAGTGAGACCCCAAGACGTGAAACAGGAGAGGAAGCAGAAGGTGCTCCAAAGGGCGTGGAGTGATGGGATAAGGGGGAATGGCTTCAAGCTGAAGGAGGGGAGGTTTAGATGGGATATTGGGAAGGAATTCTTCCCTGTGAGGGTGGGGAGGCCCTGGCACAGGTTGCCCAGAGAAGCTGTGGCTGCCCCTGGATCCCTGGAAGTGTCCAAGGCCAGGTTGGAGCAACCTGGGATAGTGGGAGGTGTCCCTGCCCATGGCAGGGGGTGGAACTGGATGATCCTTAAGGTCCTTTCCAACCTAAACCATTCTGGGATTCTTTTCTCCCTGCAGAGATAAAGGAGCATCTGTCCCTCATGGAAGAGCTTTGGTTCCCAGAGCTCTTATTATATTTAGTGTCAATTTATTCAAAGTGGAGACTCTTAAATCTTTCACGTAAAAACTGAGCATGGAATTATCTTCAGGGAAAATTCTCAATTGCATTTATGTGTCCATAGGGGTCAGACTGAAGTCAATAAGATATTTCAGATATTTTTTGGTCTTAATATTCTGCATCTGAATTTAAGTTCAGATTCATAGAATAAAAGATAAAATAGAATGTAATAAACACGACCCAAATGAAATATTATTTAAATGAATATATTTGCTTGATAAATATAGCTTGTATTTTAAGTATTTCTCAGGTTTGAATAGTGTAAGACCATATAAGAATGTGCCTTATGTTTAATTTCTTTATCCATGCCGTGTGCACGGCCTTGACCTTGTAGAAAACGTTGGTAAATGTGTATTATATCCATGTGACAACCTGAATGGTAAGGATTGTTCCAATACACAGATCAATAACACGTTGGAATGCTGTTATTAAACAGAGAGCTACCTCAGTAATGAAAAAAAACACATCAACTTTCTATGAAATGATGTTTTTTTCGAGGCAGAGTGAGCCATAGATCAAGCTTTGACAAATTCTGCTACTCTTGAATAGATTAATTTTTTTGCTCCTGGCCTCCTTTCCACCTGGAAGAGAGAAAAGAAAGTAATTCCTGCTCCAGAGACAAAGGGATTTAAAATGAGGGGAAGGAAGGCACAACTCTCAGCAGCAGCATTTTGATTCAGAAGCTTAAATACTGGTGCATCATAAAGTGTAAAATGTGCTGATTTCCAGTTAGTGATAATTCCTGGTTTAGGGGGAAAAAACTCTTTCTTTTCTATTTCTGACACACCCCCCCACCCCCCCCCACACCAAAAAATAAGTCCTGCTGTCTTTTTTCTCGTTTATTTTGCAATTCTATGAAATTTCTTCACCAAAAAAAAAAAAATCCAATGGCAAAATGTTAAAATTTAAAAACTTCAAGAAGCTTTGTAGCTGCAAAGGGGTTTTCTTGTCAAGTTGTCCTAATTTCATAATTGGGTTACCATTGGACAGTTATTAAATGTTTCATTTCTAAGGAATTTCCTTTGGTTCTCTGATTGTTAATATATGTTGACCTTAAGCCTGAACAGCTTCTACTGTTCATTTCCACTACATTCAAGTTTCAGTGTCCTGTTTGCTCCTAAAAATGCAATTGGTTTTGCTTTAGAGCTGAATTCAAAATGAGATTTTTTTTTAACAGCAAATTCAGTTGTGAAGTGGCCAGTGTCCCTTGAACATGAGTAATCAAGGGAAGCAATTTGGTTTCTTATATTTGTGGACCAAATAAGGTTATTTTTTTGCTTTATTTATGAGTGGGTTTATGCTGCTGATTTGTTTATACACTGACAGTCATTATCATCATAGAATCCCAGAATAGTTTGTGTTGGAAGGACCTTAAAGCTCATCTCATTCCATTCCAAAGGGTCACCTTCCTCTAGCCCAGGTTGCTCCAAGCCCTGTCCAACCTGGCCTTGGACACTCCCAGGGATCCAGGGGCAGCCACAGCTTCTCTGGGCAACCTGTGCCAGGGCCTCCCACCCTCCCAGCCAGGAATTCCTTCCCCAGTATCCCACCTAGCCCTGCCCTCTGGCAGTGGGATGCCATTCCCCTTGTCCTGTCACTCCATCCCTTGTCAACAGTCTCTCTCCATGTTTCTTGTAGCTCCTTCAGCACTGCAAGGCCACAATTAGATCACCCCAAAGCTTCTCCTCTCCAGGCTGGACAATCCCAGTTCCCCCAGCCTTTCCTCCCAGCAGAGCTGCTCCAGCCTTCTGATCCTCTTGGTGCCTCCTCTGGACTCGCTCCAGCAGGTCCATGTCCTTCCTGTGCTGGGATCCCAGAGCTGGAGGCAGTGCTCCATCTGGGATCTCAGAAATCAATTATCAAATGTGACCAGTTATCAAATCAAATTATCAAAGGACTGTTGAAGTTTGGTTGTCCTGTGTGGTGCCTGCCTGCCCACTTGCCAGAAGTGGGTTTAAGGTTTAAATGCAGCAGCTGGGCAGTCCCAAACCTGCTGAAAATTATCTCAAACAAAGGAC